CCCCCCTTGTGATTTCGATTTCGACTCTTTCCTCCTTTTTTTCTATCTTTTTCGTAGCAGAGGGCATCGCTACGAACGGAGCTTCTGAAGCTACGAACGTGCCTTGTGACTCTCGTGACCTTCTCATGCCTTGGTCCTTCCGTCCTTCCGGAGCTCCCTTCGTCCACCCAGGAGAGGTCAGATCTTCGGATCCACCTCCGAGGGCTGGGTCACGGTGAAGGGCAACGCTGGGACCGCCCGGGGTCCTCGGTCCAGCGGTACCGGACCGCCTCAGAGGTCGGAACCAGAGGCCAAGAAGCATCCAGGGCATCCAATCAGGTTTAAACATCCCCTGTCGGTCTTTCCAATGGGAAGGCCATTCTTTAGAAAACCAACGGGGGGGTACAACCTCAGAAGTTGTACCTACACATTTTCTATTGGCGATGTAGCTCTCTAGAAAATGACGTCTAGCTTTCAAGGATCATTTTCTAGAGCCAGATATGCATCTTCAAGAAGCATTGTCTCGAGACTTTTCGTTTGAACAGGTGGACCAAAATGAAGCTTTTTTCCGTAAACTGGACGCAGAAGCAGAGAGTAAACTGGGTGGACTCATGGGACAGAGATACTTTGGACTCTTGGATACTGTACCTGTGTCTATTCCCCAAACGAAACTCATCGTATCGAGAGACCGGGGGAGCGGTTCCGAGCATGTTCACCCTATCGTCCCCCTTGTCTGCCCCCCGTTGATCATGTGACAATCTGGATCATCTTTGGGACATGGTGGGGGTACAACCTTGGACGTTGACTTTCTAGTGGCGCAGTTCCTCCCCCTAGAAAATGAACCGATTTTTCCATAGTCACTTTCTAGAGCCAGAATCTTCCAGAGGTTGTGAAACGAATCTAGAAAATGGGGGAAACCAGCGACCCTCTCTGTGCCAATATCAAGGGGAGTGGTTCTTTGATAAACACATGGACTGTTGGATGTGCTGTTCTTCTCCCGATGTCGCAGTCGGGACGACAGTCGGGACCGAACACCGCGGTTGGGTGTCTCGTCTCCGAGGTCTTTTTGGAACCCTGCAAGAAGCACTATGCTCCTTGGCGTGCGGGTGAACTGTCGGGCTCCAACCGGACCAAGCAAAGAGAAAGGGGGGCGCTTTTAAAAGAGGACGTTGACGCGAAAAACCAACAACAACAGCAACTGTTCGTGACTTCACGTGACGACCAGTCACAAGGCGTGCTCAACTTGGTCTCAGGCGATCTTGGAGCCGACGCAGCTGGAGAAGTCCCGACGGCTGAAAGTCCAAGAGGTCGTGGAGGCGCCGCTGAATGTTTCGGGTTTCCCACGGCTTCCAAGCATGAGTAGAGCACGAGTCGTTTCATGTGTGTTTTTTGTTTGGAATGCCTTGTTGACAGCTTTCATGGCACGTGCATTTTAAAGGGTTTCATGCGTGCTCCATTGTGAAGCCAAGTCTTACTCCGGACCAATGACGCATAGTAACAAGAAGCTACTAGGAACAAGTGCATCGCTTCTAGTAACAAGTGCCTTACTAGTAGTA